TTCCGATTCCTCCATTCTCCAGACTGTTTTCTCAGTACAGGGCCACCTGTTTTCCTGACGTTTCGAGAAGTGCTTGTTGGGTTTCTCGTGCTTCGTCGGTTGTGCGCGACGGGGAAAGAAATCCGCAGGGTGTGTGTCGATGCGTGCTTACAGCCTCGTTCGTCAGGAGAAGGCGGAACGTTCCGGTATGCGGGAACGCGTGGAATGAGGTAGCCGGCGAATAGGCAGGGAATTCTCGGAAAGACGATGGCTCTTGTTTCGCACATCTGCGTCCGGAATTGAACGCTAGTGAGGGCGTGTGGAATGAAGTATTACTAGCAGTTGTATGCACATGTTGTTTATGGTTTCCTTTGTCCACTCTCTGCCTGTTGTCTCTATTAGGTTTTTTTTGCTTCAAACTAGGGAATGGGCAGTCGATGCCTGGCAGTCGATTCAACTGGGAAACGTTTGCTTCCCGATCTTCTCTAAGAACATATTTCAGTTTAAAGGAAATGAGGTGGGCTTTCGACTCTCAAAGTTTGCCCCTTCCCGTGGGTAGTCGACAACTTTATTGTCAGCTTATTATTTTGAAATATCACCTATAATCTTGATCGTTTTAAACATACATCAAATATAGTTCCTATTTGTGTTATATGTCGCTTTAAACCTTTCCGGTTTTTCCATCAACGTTGTACTTATATCAACACGACCATCCCACCCTACCCAACGAAGCTCATAGGCCCTTCTCCCTCAGTTTTCTGTTTTTTTTTTCGCTGGGGATAGAGTAACAAACTGCACTTCCTTACTATACTATACGACGCATGAGTATACTTACTTCCGTCGTCTTTGGCTGGGGTATTGATGCCGCCTAGGTCCTTCTCAGTCATTGGGACCGACCAAAGGGAAGAGTGGTGAAGGGAGTGGAGGGAAGAGGTGTCAAGAGTGAAACGTGATTGGGTTGTTGTTTGTCGGCTTAGCCGAAGGTTTGTGTGGTTGTTTTGCAGTTCGCACGCATTTCGCGTTTTACTGCTATGTGTAAGTGGCTGGTGTGGGTTCGCGTCGGACCTTAGTCAATAACCAAATCGGCTTTTGTGCTGCAAAATCAGAGGGGTGTGCTTGTCTTCTTTTCTATAGTGAGGACGTGTTGAGCTAATTGTTTTAGCGTTGCCGGAGCTTCGTTGGATCGAAAGGCTTGATAGGCTTCGTTAAACGAAAGCCGTCTCAAGCATTGCGTGAAGGACTAGGTATCAATTTCCTTCCTCAGTACTTTCAACCGTTTCCGAAACGGAAGGCGTGCTGAGCCGTAGAACTTATGTTCTGTGCTAACTTTAGGGTATCCTTGTTCTTCTGTGATGTGGTCCACCACGTTGCCGCTGCGTAGGTGGCCACAGGCCCGCAACACGTTTTATATTGCCAAGCGAAGTTCCAAAGGGAGTGTAGGTTCCCTCAAAAAAGATTGTAAGATTCTAACTCTTTGCTGTAATTTTGATCGAATACGCCTGACTTGTAAATACCAGCGCATCCTTCGATCAAATGTGACGCCTAAGTAAGTTGTCTTATGCGCCCATGTCAGTTTTTGTGGGCGAAGTGTAATTTGTTTTGGTGATGTAATACGTTTAGTGTATTTGTGTTTGCGGCGGGTGTTACAGATTGCCTGCGACTTTTCCGCTGAAAAAGTCAAGTAGCTTTGTTTCGCCCTTTGATTGGGAGTGCCACACAAGCAAACATCTACATGCGACGTACGGTTCTGATATGCGTCTCCGACTCCAGCAGTCGAGAAAGTTATGATGCTCGTGCCTAGGTCTTTGGTATTTGGGTCGGCAGTTTTGATCATATAATTAAAAGTAATAACTGAATGCAGAGTGTGCCTATATAGTATTGGAATCAATGTACCGAGGAGGGTATTGGTGGAAGGAGCACTAGGTGTGTTTCGAGGAGATTTGATTACGTGAAAGTCTTGTTACCAGAGAACTTGCAGTCGATGAGGATCATATTAAGTGAACAGTCCTTGAAGGTCCACGATAGTTAATGCAAGTAGTGAAGGCTCGTTCGAGGTTATTGGTAGTCAGGGAAAGGTTTCATCTAACGATAGGCAAAATACGCACACTTCTCAAGGTGACTGTTAATCTGCAAATATAGGTTATTAAGAGAAAATCGAATCTCAAATCACTCTGAATATCTAAACGATAGTAATATTCAGTGGAAAACGGTCCCATTGGAACTTTTCGCTAATAGTCTCTAGATTTATACCATAGATTCTTTCCTTTGAATGTCAGGCCATAACTACTTTCTCATATTTTTTATACCCAACATACGTGTAGAATGCAAAAGTAAAGACAGCCCTGTGCGAAATTTCAATGTTCCTTATGCTTATAGCGGCTTCGTGATTAGAACATACCTGATAATTGTAGTATGGTATTTTTTGGTTCTACTGAATTTAAGCTTTACGCAGATGGTAAATAATGTGCAACCTGGAAATCCGGTATTATAATTGACGCAATCTTACGAGACGGACGCATGTGCTTGTGCTCTTAAATTTTTGTCCCTATCTACTATTGTTAGCGATTTGAATATATTTGGTGTGTTTAAGTGGTTTATTACTTGTTGCAGGTTGGCTGAATATATAATTTCGGCTTGTTATTTGCTATTGCCAAGACAAACTAAAATATAACAAATTTTAAACGCTTACTGGAACATTACCGAACTTAAGATTTACGAGTTGGTGTTAGTGTCAAAACCTATAAACAATTCTATTTCTTTTCGATATTATATCACTGTGCTAATTTAATTACTGAAATATTTTTATTATATTTCTGTGACGAGAGATGAATCCGTTGATTTGAACTTTACGAGGACGGTGTATCTAACAGTGTTGAATTTGAGTTTCAAATTTAATTTATTCTAAATTTTCAAAACAAATTTTCACTTAATATCTTTTTTCTATCAACGGTAAAGTATATTCACTGATTGTATTAAATCTGTTCCTACTATACGTAAACGATATGCCCTCGACGGTTAGTAACGGAAGTACAGTTCTCTTTGCGGACGATACGAATATTCTTTGAAATTACGAAACCGTAAATAGTACTATATCAGATATTTCAAATTGGTTTCGTAATAACAAATTAATAGTAAATGAAAGAAAACTCCGTCAATGCAGTTCTCCATTTCAAATAAACAGCTCGACACGTCAATGAAGATGAACGGCGTGCCATTGACTGATTTTAAGATAACAAAATTTTTAGGTCTTTCAATTCAGTGAAACCTTAAATGGAACATCCGTTTAAATGAATTGAACACTAAATTAAGTTCTTTATTCTTTATATTCTTTCAATTTCAGTTAGCCTCCACACTGCTCGTTGTGTATATTTCGCGAATGTTTATTCCCACCTGAGATATGGCATAATATTCTGGGGACACACATCTTATAGCTCGCAGACTTGAAGATTACAAATACGAATTGTACGAATAGTAAGCAAATCCCACCCTCGTGATTCTTGTAAGCCTCTTTATTAATTTAGGTATTTCAGCATTGCCTTGTCTCTTAATATATGAATGAGTGGTTTTTGTCAAAAATGACTTACTTAAAGGCGGGAATATATTTTCAGCAAAGCCGTTGTCTATAACTACAACACTCGACGTAGTTTGTCGCAAGTAAAATCTTTTCTGCTGCACAACTGTTTCTATACAATTAGAGACTATACCAAGAATCCAAAAGGAAAGTAATATTAATTTTAACAATGATATTTAATGTATTATATATAATTTAGATTATATAATTGTAAAGAACCTGTAACAAGTATTGGACTGCCGCTTCTGGGTCAAAGACCCCCATCTCGATCAGGTTTTCGTCCAGTTTCCTGATCCTCAAGAAAATGCTGAGATGGCCCTTTCTTTTGCTTCTGGACACAAATGCAACTTCAAATTAACTTCTCCCCATAGCACGACACACACAGTTTTTAATTATTTTTGACATAAATATATAAATGATATGAGCAGGCCGTGCTATCGCGTGACAGAAGAGAACGCGCAACTATAAAACACAAAACACATATGTGTAGGCAAGTAGCTCGGCGATTGAGTTTCTAGTAACAATCTGCTGAATTAGTCGAAAAAGAAAAGCAGAGAAAGAACTGGTGCAGGTTGTCCGTCCTGAAATGTCCGAATACACTTCAGGGTCGGTTTGACACAGTGGCTCATGTGACACATGACTCGTTCTGCACATTGGTTTTAGGAAATTATTATTAATCTTTTTATTTCCCTGCCAGGACTGCCAACTCAGTAAGTGGACATTGGGAAGTTTTATCATTTAATCATTACTATTTGAATTATTGAAATATGCTAAGGAATTTTACTGAATTAGGGAGTGTAGCTATTTATTTACTTAATTTTATCAAATCATTGAAGGTTGTGGGGCTCTTCGACTATTTAGATCATTGGTGCCCAGGAATGACTAGGTAACGAATTGCCAATAGCGATTATGATGAGGAAAATGATAGTGGAGGGATAGTGGAATGAGAGTCAGGAAAAATGTGAGAACCCCGTGAAAACCTGTCAAAGCTCCTCATAGATTAGCCAGAGATCCAGATGTGAAAGCGTGTGCGGTATCCTTTTACCCTTGAGAACTCCTCCGTACGAGTCTCTCTAGATCATTCGAAATGGGCCATATTGGAATGGGATATTAGGTCAGCCCAATGACATTGTAGGGATAGATGAAGGAAGGATCTGGGGCAATCCGCAGAACTGTTTCGGCCTGGTATCCTCCTAGAACTGATGAAGAGAAATCCCGGAAAGGACCTGAGTCTAGAATAGTATTCTCATCCTCACAGTATGGATGTGAGCGCGCAGCTCAGTGATGGAGTGCCACTAAAAGCAGTTTGAATTAGTCGAATCCGAAAAGCAGAGAAAGAACGGGTGGGGTATGTACTTCCATCATGCTTGCATGCGTGTCAAACATTTTTATCTAACATTTCCCACCAGCTGTTTCTTTCTTTCTTTCTTGTTGTAAAAATGACGAACTCAACAACCGCCTCCAAAGCAGCTAGTTTTATTCCACGTTCTCGATCTCCAAGCGCAAAACACAACTTCTCTGAAAACCAGTCGTTCCCACGTACAACGAGAGGCGGGCGGAGTATTTATGTGTCAGCAACTTGGCGCTCCACCGCTCTCTCTCTTTCCTTTCCGACGGGGGCTCGGTCGTCTACTGGAGCAGCACCAACAGTCGCCCGTGGCCCGTCATGTCGCCGACTCTCGTAGCGCTGACTCAGAAAGCGCCGGTCGAGGCGCGGCGCAGGACGTGGACACCGCGTCGCATCGCGTCGACAGCTCGGGAGAGGAAAGCAGGCCGCTGACACCTCCTCCTTGCTCCTCATCCTCCTCATCCTCTTTCTCCTCCTTCTCATCCTCGTCGTCTCGCGCCCGGCGCCGCCGCCGCCGCCGCCGCCGCCTGCTGCCCACCTGATAGCGGAAGATGCGTGGGCGGTGCTGGCGAGGCGCCAGATGACGTGAACCGAAACAATGCCCTGCGCAGAGCGCCACCGGCGAATGTTTGAGGCCACCTGTGTGTGAAGAGATGCTTCCTAGCCAATCCGCACGCACCTGGAAATGTTGTAAAAAACGGCGTAGATGAGGCGTACGATTTGGGGAGAAGTTCCCTTCCAACACTCAAATCTTCTCCCTTCCTGACTGCCCGCCAACGAGTTGGCGATTTGGTGGGCGGGTGCGAGAGGTATTGGAAACTAAAGGTGGATCAATTGATGCCGCGCAATTGGTGCCTTATGCGTGTGATACAATTGTACAGCTTATTTCCAAAGTCGCGTGTCCCAAAAGAAAAAAAAAATATCTAATTCAGCCTTATAGTTCAAATTTATATTCAGCTGTTTTTGGATGCCATTCAACATTTGAGAAACGCCATTTAAAAAAATATTGTTGTCAGCGTGATAAGCGTCCTATTAATATTGATAGAATTTGTTTTCCTATTAATAAAACTAGAAAAGAAACGGAAACGGAGATTCGACACTTTAGAAATAAGCTCTGTAACTACACTCCACAAGCATCAACTGCCAACGATACTTAACGCGGGCCACACCGCAATGAACGTCGAAGGTGAAGTTGCCCGGCATTCGATACGAATGGGAAGGGGAACAGCTGTCAGTTCTTGCGCGATCGCAGTGGGATTTTCTCTTCGAGATACATCTGCTTTAATGCTTGTTGCACACATGGTTTATCCCTTCGCGCCATCAACGTTAAAATCTTATGTTTATAATCGTGGGGTGAGTTCGTGTTATATATGATTTCCGAAATTCTGTAAAATTAACTCGCCCACATTTTATATTAAAGTATTTTAGTAGTAGTCACTAAATTTTTAAAGAAAGTGCATGTGCTTCGACTTTTTAGTAGATGCCATAGGATTGCGAACAAGAGGATCCTACTAAATTTCTGGACCCATCAGAGCTCCTTTTCCACTAATTTGTTTTATTTACATTGACATTGTACAAGTAAATAAATAAACGTAGGAGAACGAGAATAAATTAAAACTTTAATGATACACCAAATACATACAATTGATTTTATGTCGAACTCCCTTCTTGCTTTATGTTGCCAGATAGTTTGCAGATCTTCTCCAAGTGCATCAATTACCAAAAACGTCAGCGAAAAGGATAAAGTATTAGGAATTGATCATATGTACGGAAATGAAATGTTTTACTCTGTAGGATGACAGGACCCCTATCAAAATTTTCAGGGGGACCACCCCCTCCCCTGTGCGCACGCCTGTTGTCGATGCTTTTGGAAAGTGAAACAGACTTGATAGCCTTATGACCCGTAAAAATTCTTTCAAAGCATCTACACTATACATACTGCCGTGCTTTATCTCTCTTTGAAATTAGTGGTTCTACAGCTCGTACTAGCTTGTATATTTTCTATAACGCATTAGTAAATAATGCATCTTTTATCTTACTAATACTTCGAAGATAACTTCAAGATGTAATTTTTTAATATCAGTTTTCATAAAATGACACGACAAATAATTCTCACACAGTTTAAAGAAAACATGTGGAGCCCATGAGAAAACTGAGTAGGCTTTGTAATTTCTTTCAAAAGAAATTGAAATTGAGATTTGGATTTTTTGGAACGTGAATTTGGGCGAACGAAAAAACATCGTACCTTTCATTGATTGTTAAAAAATAATTCTTACATTATTGACATTGTATTTAATTAACAAATAAAATTAATTAGAATTTCTATTGAACGATAGGATTTTATCTATTTGAATACGTCTTTATAACTTTAATATAACAATAACTTGATTAACAAACATTTTAATAACTCAAGTATGTCCCAGGTATATAATAAATCTTCCACGACAAGGGGATTTTAGATTTTGTGAGAGGCTGTATCGCCGGAGTCATTTGCATAGACGCCAGAGGCCTGTTTGTATTGGCCTCTCCTTTCCATCCAGCAGATGGTGCGTAAGGTGTGTGCATGCGATGAGAGAATGGACCGGTTTCCTGGTGCGTTTGTATGTAGCTAGCCGCAGTGGCGATCTACGGCTGCCGGTTTGCCACCCTGCATTGTATTGGAGACTCAAATTCATTCAAACATATACACACACATACATAAATATGTACATTCACATACACGTACTGTGCCACAACGCGTATTAATATTCACTGTTCGTTATAACCTATATATTGATGACCGTTATATGGACAAGATACTCGTGTAGGACGAAGAATGATACAAAACAAATTGCCGACCATCGATGATAAATATGCTAATATGTAACATTTTATTGTTTTGATATTGTAGAGCGTGGAAGAAAGAGGGTGAAGTTTCATTACCTCATTCGGGGTCAGCAGTAAAATGAATGATTTAACCGCAACATTTTTTTTAATTTGTTTAAAAAATATAAAGAGGATGGGATGTCCAGAAGATTGCCATTGTTTAGTTACTGAGCTACAAGGATAAGGGTTTGCTTGGTTGGCCGTGCTCATTGCAGATGCAGAGTGCTCTGCATTCACTTCACCTCGCCATTGATTGTTTACTGCTGTGTCACAACGCACTCTACAGTTTTAACAGACAGAACAGTAGTTGTATAACCTATTAATGAAGTTCTGTTTCTGTAAACGAACAGTGCACATTCTTTGAAAGACTTCCAAGAAAATAAATTCCTTTGAAAATCCACTACGGGATCTACAAATCGTACGCAAGCCCTTGTAACCATCAATCATGTCAATCGATTTTTCTGTATTAAGATATTTTACTAAATATACAAACAAAATTTATCCACTTTTTCGTTTACAGGGCAGGGCAGGTACATTTTTTTTGTAGAAAATTCGTATTCCGGCGCACGATTACAATACTTCTTTTTTAACGAAGTAAGGGCCAGAAAATAAAAATTATTCTAAAAAAGCCCGAAATTTGTATGGAGAATTCATTATTGGTTTCCTGTCAATCTACGAGACCTTAATATTAGTATCGGGTCAAAACATTATTAATAAATAGGCAATAGTTATATTAATAAGGTTTTTGCAAATTAATGAACATTCATCGTTTTGGCGTAGATTTTTGTGACATTCATTAAATACATGTATTTTCATATACATTTATGTGTAAAAACACAACAGCATAAAGTATAAGAACTTCAAGAAGTTATTAGTGCAAAATAATATTGAAATAATTTGGCTTGATTTGTATATAAATATTTTTTAATTTTAATTTAATTTTAAAATTAAAGACGCTATATCTCAAAATTTGTGTTCTGGACCCCCAGCATCTTTGTCGTACTCTTTAATAGGAATTTAGTTACCTAATCTGAAACAGTCCGAAGGGAGAAAACGGGGGGAGAAGGGCACTTGAAGAGAGAAAACGACTCACAACACTAATTCTGTTGTTTATGACTTGGATATTTGTATTTGATGGGATTAAATATAAAACAATGAATTTGTATTGAATAGTATATATCTAAACAAAATAATTTCAATTCAATAAACTATTTTCCATTTCGAGTAAAAAGTTATGTGTGATTGGCCTAATCTTCATTTGTAACCTACATCCTCACACGATCAGAAACGTTTGATTCCGATTCCGGTATCTCTTAATCACGCGTAACCTTGCTTTGCGCACCATGACACTGAAGTGATGCTTTCAACGCGATAGTTCACAAAGCTGATTTTCTGCACTAAATGAAGACACTGCCTAGTGTCAAGTAGAGAGGCCGTTGAGAATGGCTTCTAATCTTATCTGGCAAATGGCAAAAAATCAAGATTCCGACCCACGCAATCATTCGTTCGTGATCCTCCCCACCTCGCCTGCCGTAAGATTCACTGCGGCTGAATACAACCACCTTCTCCATTGTAATGGTTATTCTTGAGGGCTCAAAGGTTGGAATAATGCCAAGGTATCCGGATCCAGTAAATTGTAGTTTCAAATCCTGGTTAATTGTGGACAATCTTTTTCCGGTGATGTGAGGAGCGAAACCAGATCGAATCCATCAAACATATCAGTACTATTTGACTTCTCGGTGCAATCATTCCTTTCTTTGATATATTTTCCCATGAGATAATAAGGTTATGAAAGTCTCTTTATATATATATATATA